GTGGGCTTGTGGCCAAGCGACCCCTCATGCCCCCGTGAAATGGGGTTGGCAAATGGCTGTGCCTCCCTCCCCTGCCCAGATCTACCCAAACCATGCCACACCTTGGCACCCCGGTGCTCTCCTGCAGCTCCCGCGGTCCATTCCCGTGTCTCTTGGCTGTGGGGTCCCCTCTCCCCCATGGTGTCCACGAGTTTCCCCCTGCCATTCTGGGCAGCTGCCAGGTCTTGGGCAAGTTTGTAGCAATGGGACATGCCTGGTGGTCATCCCTCCTCCCGCATCACCCCATGGCCGTGCTGCTTCCTTACAGATCTCCGACATCTACATCAGCGGGGAGTCGGGGGATATGTCGGCCAAGGAGAAGCTGCTTCTGTGGACACAGAAGGTGACAGCGGGTTACATCGGCGTGAAGTGCACCAACTTCTCATCATGCTGGAGCGATGGGAAGATGTTCAACGCACTCATCCACAGATACAGGTGGGCAGGAGGGAGGAGTGGGGAGCATCGTCTGGGTGGGAGGAAGGGCTGGGGACCTCCTGGGGGTCCCTGCCCACCACTGCAGTTGGCAATGGTCTGTGCTTGGAGATGTAGGTGAGGCTTGCAGGGAGCGACGTCTCTTTTACCTGGAAATCATCTCTTCTGCCAGGCTGCTGGGGGGGGTTGATGCTTGGAAAGAGCAGCAAATAGATCAGGTTGCAAGAAAAAAACATCTTGAATGAGGCTGGGGAGAGAGGCAAAAAAGCAAAGCTTTTAAACTCTAGAGAATGGGAGAGCTGCAGTGGTTTACGTGTTACTGCTGCCCATTCCGCTCTCCATGAATAGCAGCACTTCCATCCACGCTTTCATCCAAAGGCCTTGGAACTCTCCCGAGCAGCAATTAAACCTCTTGCGGCTCCTTGAGAGGCAGCGCAGCCCCGCACACCTTCCGTTTGCTCAGCGTAGGCAGCGGATCGGCACTGGGGCCGGCTTCTGCCCCTGCTGCGTGGCCAAGGGGGCTCGGCATGGCTCTGAGTGCCTGCAGGTGAACAGCAAAGGCCCCGTGAGAAAGCATCTCCTGGCAGCTGGAAATAGCTCTGCCGTCCCGTGCTGCCCTGCGCTCGCCTGTGGCCGGCAGGAGCGGGCAGGGTTTGGCACGCGAAGCTCCTGCAGGCAGGGCCAGGCAGGAGATGGGTGCGTGGTGGGCAGCAGCCCTCACCGGGATGGCGTGGTGTGCACAGGCTGGGATTTTCCTGGCTCTGCCATGTTTGTTTGTCGTTGCGTTGCCGGTGTTTCCTCCCAGCGCAGGGTTGGCAGTGCCTGTGCCTGTCACCTCCCCTCCGCTCTGCTGCCCGTGTCCTCCGGAGAGGTGTCACAGGGCAGGTCCCAGAGTGCGCACGAGGGGTTTTCCTTCACAGGTTGAACAATCCCCTTCCCAAAGGGAATGAACTGGGAGGTGCTGCAGGCCAGGTCCTCTCGGAAAGCCACCAGCCCAGGACAGGGGCTTGGGCGAGCCCTCGGGAGCCACCCGGGGCAGCGGTGCCCATCCAGGATGCTCCAACCTTGGGACCTTGTGCTGTTTTGCCAACGTTGTGACTTGGCGGTGTGTGTCTTGCAGGCCAGATCTGGTGGACATGGAGAGGGTGCAGATCCAGAGTAACCGGGAGAACCTGGAGCAGGCCTTTGAGATTGCCGAGCGGCTGGGAGTCACGCGGCTGCTGGACGCCGAAGGTGGGTGACCAGGGGAAGTGGCTGGCGCGGGGAGGTGCTGACCTCTCCGTCCATTCCCGTTCCTCACCACCTTTCTGCTTCCCCCTTGTCAGATGTGGACGTCCCCTCTCCGGATGAGAAATCCGTGATAACTTATGTGTCTTCAATCTACGATGCCTTTCCCAAAGTCCCTGAGGGAGGAGAAGGGATCAGTGCTATCGTAAGCATCACCGCGGGTTGGGAGGCTGGCACAGCGATTTCGGAGGTGGTTGGTTGTTGCGGGAAGGGTTTGGAGGTTCCCCGTCCACCATAGCAGATGGCCAACGGTTGGAAGAGGCTCAGGGGGAGGAAGGAGCTTCCCCGTTAGCGTGTCTGCCCTGTGAACCACCAGTGTGCCTGTAGGGCCACGGCGTTCTCCAGGCTCTGCGGGTTCTGCCGTGGGTTTTGAGCTCATGGAAAAGCTGAGCTGGCTTCCAGGGAGCAGCCTGCAAGGAGGATCTTCCTCCGCCTTCGGGTACCTGGGAAGGCATCACAAGCAGGGAGGCATGGGTGGATGATCCACCCCGTAGCTCTGACCGTGGCACTCGGTTCCCTCCATGCTCTGCTTGGCAGGGCCGGGCTCTGCCTCTCCCCTGTGGAGACCTGCCCGCTGGCCGTGCTCTGCAAGGCTGCTCTTGCCCCGCAGGAGGTGGATTCGAGGTGGCTGGAGTACCAGAGCCGCGTGGAGTCCCTCATCTCATGGATCAAGCAGCACACGATACTCATGTCTGACAAATCCTTCCCCCAGAACCCTGTAGAGCTAAAGGTAGGTCCTGGACGAGGTCCATCCCCAGTGTCCCATGTGCTCGGCACCAGGAGCTGGGTGGTGGCATTCCCCCAGGGTGGTTTCTGATGAGCCTTTCTCATCCCAGGCACTTTATAACCAGTACATACACTTCAAAGAAACTGAAATCCCAGCGAAAGAGCAGGAAAAAGGAAGGATAGAGGAGCTCTACAAACTATTAGAGGTAAGTATCGTCGTGGCTACCCGGAGGCTTGTAGGTGGGAGTGCTGTGCTTTTAGCAAGAGTAAAGGGTGCTCAGTTCAGGTTTATTTTGGAACGGAGAAGTGGAAAGAACCCTCAGGGTAAATGATGTAGCAAGCAGCACACTGCAGAAGCAGAGGCAGAGCTGTTGCCTTAGAGCCCCCTTTCCTTGCTGTAATCTCTCTCTAGCCGGCCCAAGGAAATGCCCTTCTGTTGATGTTTTTTCCCAGGTGTGGATTGAGTTTGGACGCATCAAGTTGGCCCAGGGGTACCACCCCAACGACGTGGAGGAGGAGTGGGGCAAGCTCATCATTGAGATGCTGGAGCGCGAGAAGCTCCTGCGGCCAGCGGTGGAGAGGTCGGTGCCTGCGGGGCCGTCCCTGCCCCCCGGGCTGGAGGAATGTCCCAAAGCCTTTTTCTTTCCCTCTGCCAGCACAGACTGGAACTGCTGCTACAAATCGCTAACAAAATCCAGAATGGTGCTCTGAGCTGCGAAGAAAAACTCACTCTTGCAAAGAACACGCTGCAAGCTGTGAGTGAGGGGTCTTATTTTTCCCCCTCCTAATTTTTTTTATGTATTTTTTTTTTTATTTTCCTGCCTCTTCTTTTATGCCCATCTCCTCCCCTCTCTTCTGCATGGGGTGTGGGGTTTCCCTGGACAGATTTCCTTTCTCTTCTGGCACTGAGCTTATTCCAGGGGGGCTATAGGGGCGGGTGAGGGGTACCTGGCGATCTGTGGCACGAGGACCCTAGGGACAGGGGGGCAGGGGACTGGCCTTGCCGTGCAGCCGGCTGCCTCCGGGGATGCAGCTAGCGAGGCTGGACATCAGCAGAAACGCTGGCTTGGAGGAGAACTGCAGTTCTGGGAAAGCTTGTTGTATAACGAGGCTTAAAACCCCCCCCAAATGTGTTTTATTTGTCTAAAAGACTGGCAGAAGGGACTTGGTTGCAGACTGTAGCTACCTGGGCTTGGAGTAGATTTCTGAAGAGGGGTGTTTTGTTCTGGGAGAAGGGGATGCAAGGGTTGGGAGCTAAAAATGGTTAAAGCAAGAAATGAGATGTGTTTAAGTGCCTGTCCATGGCACAAACCATGGGAGCCCATCCATCGCTAGAAGCTTTTGGCTCATCTGCAGGAGCCTTTCTGAAGGGATGATGTCCTAGGTGTGGTGTGAGCGATGAACTCGTGTTCTTCTGCTCAAATCAAGCTTGTGGATCAGGAGGTCTTTTCATCTTACCGTCGATGCTGTGCTGCTATCATGTTCTCTCTGCCCACGTTCCTGGGCTGAGGGGACCCAGCCCTCAGTCTCCTCCTCTCCCTTGGGGCAGGACGCTGCTCACCTGGAGTCGGGCCAGCCGGTGCAGTACGAATCCGACGTCGTCGTGTATCTGCAGGAGTGCGAGGGGCTCATCCGCCAGCTACAGGTGGATGTGCAGATCCTTCGGGATGAGAATTACTACCAGCTGGAGGAGCTGGTGTTCAGGTAAGGGGGACCGTGTCCGAGATGGCCTCTGGATGGAGAAATGTGGTCAGGAGCTGATGCACTGGGTTCCTTTGCTCTGTTGTGAGGAAGGAAGGAGTGTGCGTGCATCTTCTTACCCTGTGCTCCGCTTGCTCCTCCAGGATCATGCGGCTGCAAGACGAGCTGGTGACACTGAGGCTGGAATGCACCAACCTGTACAGGAAAGGCCACTTCTCCACCCTGGAGCTGGTGCCCACTTCCACGCTGAGCACGACGCACTTGAAGGGCGAGTCCCTGACGAAAGGGCTGCACACCTCCTCTGCCTCCTGGTTCCGGAAGCCCATGACCAGGACAGAGCTGGTGGCCATCTCTTCTTCCGAAGACGAAGGCAGCCTCCGGTTCGTGTACGAGCTGCTGGCATGGGTGGAGGAAATGCAGGTGAGTGCTGGCCAAATTACCTGCCTCTGCTCACAGTGATGTAGGAAGGTAGGAGGCTGGACTGGGATTTTTCCTCCTTTTATCTGTGAATAGTTGCTTTGATGGTTCAGAGTTTCTGGAAAGCACTGATGCTTTTGTCTTGAGTCGGGTTTTCTCTCTCGTGATCCTGCTGGCCAGTGGGTATCAGATGATCCTTCCAAAGCTGGAAGCAGCTCTGTACTGATTCAGTCGGTCCTTTGGTCTTAAGTGGGTGTGAAGCTTGTGTAGGCTGTCCCAGAAATCATCCAGTGTCGGAGCACTGGCTTAGGACCTTCTACCAGGGCTGGTGTGGGGTTTGTTCCCTCTTCAATGAACTAGGAGGTTTCCTTGCCCTCGTGTCCTTTTTGAGTTACGCTCCTGCAGACGAGGGGTGCTGACTTGGGTCTCTTGGCCTGTTTCAGATGAGACTGGAGCGGGCAGAGTGGGGGAGCGACCTGCCGAGCGTGGAAACCCAGCTGGAGACCCAGCGGCACATCCACACCAGCGTGGAGGACCTGGGCTCCAGCGTAAAGGAGGCGCGGATGTATGAGGTACAGTGGCACGGGCTGGGGGACACAGCGCGTGGCACAATGTGTGCGGGAGGGTGAGGGCATCAGGATTGGCTCTTGTGGGTAACGGGGCCTGGGGCAGAGGTATTTTTTAAGGACAGAGCTTCTGAATTGATGCTGGGCTGGTGCAAGAGCCTGCTGCCCTGAGCCAGCCTCTGCACCTCCTTTTGCTCCCACAAAGCTGGGGAGAAAGGTTCAGAGATGGGGTTCCAGGTGATGCCGTCCTGTGTTGGGTAACAGGAGCCTTTTTCATCTTTCAGGGTAAAATGTCTCAGAATTTCCGTGCTAGCTACACGGAGACGCTTGGCAAGCTGGAGACGCAGTACTGCAAGCTGATGGTGAGTGGGCTCCGAGCAGGCTTACAGCAGTGCCCGGGGTCCATCCCCGCCGCCCTGCTCCGGAGCATCCCTACTCTGAGGCTGGGGAGGGGGGAAGAAATCGGTCGCCTTCAGAGCAGGGGAGAGGAATCACGCTTCGTTGTCTTCAGGAAACCTCAAGCTTCCGGCTGAGGCACCTCCAGAGCCTGCACGGGTTTGTGTCTCGGGCCACCGCCGAGCTGATTTGGCTGAATGAGAAGGAGGAGGAGGAACTGGCCTACGACTGGAGCGACAACAACCCTAACATCGCAGCCAAGAAAAGCTATTTCTTGGTGAGTGACCCCGAGGCGGGGCTGGTGGGATGGGCGCTCTCTTGGTCGCGCTGCCGCTGCTTTTGATTTGCTCTGTGACCTGCAGCTGCCAGCAGACCTGGTGTCCCCAGAGGTTTGGTGCTCCCTCCCAAGTCCCTGAGCTTGCAGCTCGTGAGTGCAGCTGATGAAAGAGCTCTCCCTAGAGCAGCAAGTGCAAAAAAGTGTTTGTTCGGTTGAGTTTCTATCGAAAAGGCATCAAAAAATGTCTTTTTAGCACTATTTGGAACTAAAAGCATCTTTAACTAGCGGGGGGAAGTCTGAGATAAAGAAGAAAATTGATTCCTCGTTAAAGCAATATAAATAAATTGCCGTTGCTCCACAATTGCGCTGTCTGGAATTGAAGAGGTCCCCAGGCATGTTTTCAGTATTTGTGTTACATCTGCCCCGTGTGTTTGGTGCTCAGGAGGCATCCTGATGGGAGTGGGCTGTGGCACTCCCGTAAGCCATCCTGGTTTCCCTGAGATCCACTGGTATTTACTGGAGCGCTCCCATGCTGCCTGGGGTATTAGGTGGACGCGTGCTCCGAGTGAGGCTGCTCCCCGTAGCCGAGGTTTGGACTTTGCTTGTGTCCTTCACGCAGGAGCTGACAACGGAGCTGGAAGAGAAGCAGGACATCTTCCGCTCCCTCCAAGACACAGCTGAGCTGCTGTCCCTGGAAAACCACCCAGCCAAGCAAACCGTAGAGGTGAGTTGGGCACGTGGAGGAGCTGGGAAGAGCCTTGCGAATCGGCTGGCAGCAAATCTGCTCACTCGGGATCGGGAAACTTGCTGTCCCCCCCCCAGGATGCCCTTATGGGCAGCCAGGGCTGATAAAGTGTTCTGCGGTGGCAGAAGAAGGTCAGTGCAGTGATAGAGCTGCTTTATTCTGGGGAGTGCAATGGGAAGCTCGAGGCCATTCCCAAATAACCCTCACCTCAAATTAAGGCACGGATCCGCTTTTGTACAGAGCATGAGCTTTTCCTGCAGCGAGGTGAGGCAGGGAATGGCCTTGGCTCCCTTGGAGTTATCCAGGCTTCCAGGAAAACTGTGGTGGTGAAGCAAAGGGCTGCAGGGACACATTTCTCCCTGGTGTTTCTCTTTGGGGTGGGAGAAGGCAAACCTGTGCCTGCCGCAGCCCCCGCCATCACCAGTCCAGGGTCTGCTGCCTCCTGCTCTTCGTGCCTGTGTCCAAACCTTCCTGGCTGCAGCCAGATCTTGCCCGTTTATGTACATCCCACCTCCTCTGCTGTGTCCTTCCCGTGACCCTCCTGGCTTGGTAAATGCTCGTTACTCATCACCATTTGCTGCCTCTGTTTCTCAGGCCTACAGTGCTGCCGTGCAGACGCAGTGGCAGTGGATTAAGCAGCTCTGCCTGTGTGTAGAACAGCACGTGAAGGAGAACGCTGCCTATTTCCAGGTAATTGGGAGGGGCAGCCCAAATTTCCCCGGTCACCATCTGCTGCGTGAGCTTCACACGCTGCTGTTCCCTTCAAGGGAAAGGGAAGGAGGGATTTGTGTGGGGGCTGCTTTCTCCTGAAGCATCTCTTTCTCCTTTGCTGCTCTCTGGGGATGTCTCACTTGGGCGAGAGGGATCAGCTTCTACGTGGTTCTGGCCATCCCTGTGGGATGCTTGGCTGACCTTGCAGCCTTAAGGCCAGGATAGGGGGTCGGCCTCTTCTCCCTGGTAATGGATGATAGGACGAGGGGAAATGGTCTGGAGTTGCACCAGGGCAAGTTTAGGTTGGACATTAGGAAAAATTTCTTCCCCGAAAGGGCTGTCAGGCACTGGAAGGGGCTGCCCAGGGAGGTGGTCGAGTCCCCATCCCTGGGGGGATTTAGAAGAAGGGCAGATGAGGTGCTTAGGGACATGGTTTAGTGGTGGGATGGCAGTGCTAGGTTAATGGTTGGACTTGATGATCTTAAAGGTCTTTTCCGACCTAGACGATTCTATGATAGCGTTGAGAGCTGCTGGTTGAGGTGTTGGGGTGGTCCCTTGCTGCGCTGTGTGCTGCTGACTCCTCGGTAGAGTTCCAGAGGTTTCTGTGACCCTCTTTGCCTTTGCAGTTTTTCAGCGATGCCCGTGAGTCGGAGACCTACCTGCGCACCCTGCAGGACTCCATCAAAAGGAAGTATTCTTGTGACCATAACACAAGCCTGACGCGGCTGGAGGACCTGCTGCAGGACTCCATGGTGGGTTCTCCGACATCCCCGCCACCCTGGGCGGGCGATGGGTGGCCTTTTTGCTCTGGTCCAGCGGCATTGCTTGGGGCACGTCTTGCTTCCCAGGGAAAACTGGGCACATTTTATTCCCGCAGCGATGCAGTTTGGTGTAACGTGGTTTGTGTCCTCATCTTGGTCAATGTTCTGCTTTTCATTGGAGCTGCTGCATGTGTTTGTACATGGCCATGGGGTGCCGGTGGTGTGCGACCCCAGCTGCACCGCTGCCTAGATGTAACGCTGCCGATGGTAGCCGGATCTCGGTCGTTCTGACAGCCGATGGGTCGCTTTTGTTTAGAGGCACCGTCCAGCATCTTTCTGTGTCCTTGGGGTGAAGAGCGGGCGGCGTGTGCTGTCTGTGCAAACTCACAGCTTGACCTGTGAACTGGTTCTTCCCCATCTGTGCCATCTTGGTCTGCATGGAGCCGGTTGGGTTCTGCTGATGGAGGTGTCGCGCAGAGCCCGTAGGATGCTCCTGTTTCTGCTTTTGAGCTGGTGCTTGCTAGGAGCGCAGCGGGATGCGGAGAAACGCAGTCTTTATCCGGACCAAATCCCATGTTAATCCATCGCGCTGTGCCGGTGGGGGCAGAGCCAGGGCAGCCCGATGGGGTGCGGGGATGGGGGCTTGGGGGCTTGGCAGCGCTGATCTCCGAACACGTGGCCTGGCTTAGCTGCGGCATAGCAGAGAGCAGATGATGAGCAATCACACTGTGATCTTCTTGTCTGGATTGGCCTGAAAAAAAACCAACCAAAAAACAAAACTCAAGGAGCAAAGCATCAGGTGGTGTTTGGAATCAAGGACAGGGGAGGATTTGGGTTGATCACTGAGCCGCTGGTGGAGGTGACGTCTGAGGGTGTGGAGGCAGGCGGCTGCTTTGGCTTTGCTCTTAGTGCACACCACTGGTTTCCAGTGTGTCCCCAGTGAAGCTGGGATGCCGTTACTGGGTGCTCGTGGTGGGTGCATCAGCTGGGCTAGGCCTCACCGTCTTCTATCCTGGAGGCCTGGGAGGTCCCATCCTCTCTGTCGCAGTCTTGGGGTCATCCTGGTCTGTCCTCCAGCACTGCCAGGACACGGAGCAGCCAACCTGGCTCCTGGGATCCGTATTGGCGAGCCCTGCAACACCAGAGGTCTGGCAGGCGCCGTCCGGGGTGGGAGAGGCTTGTCGGGGCAGCTGGAGAGCGGCCACCATCTCAGGACTGGGGCAGCTGCCCTGGGCTCAGCTATATTACTCTTTCTTACCTGATAAGTTAAAGTTGTATTTCTTCCAATCATGCTCCCTGGGACAGGCACAGGTAGTTTATTTAATCATTTATTCTTTTCTTTTTTTTTTTTTTTTTGCCATTAAATTATCCTCCACTGTTGTTAGCGCACTAACCGACCCCGAGCGTACCGAGCATGGGGGAGAACATTTTTCTGGGATCCTCTTTAAACTTTTGCAGCCAGAACGGGCTGAGCTGCCGCTAATCACACCAGCTGACAGTGTCGTGATCCGCACACGTCTCCCGTCGGTGCCGGAGGCTGTTCCAGGGGAGCTTTGCCACCAGTCCCCTGGGTTGTCCCATCACCGAACCCAGCCAGGGACTTGTGGGAATCAATTACGCAGCATCTTCCTCCAACCAGCAAATTTCTACCCAAACCCAGAGACCTGTGCGATCACTCCACCACTGGCCCCTTCTCCTGAGATGTTTTATCCGCATAATTCATTGTATCCCCATTCCAGCCATTGGTTTCAACATGCCTTCATCCTTTGCTTTAGAAAAGGGAGCATGCTTCTGTGGTCTCTCCTCCAGACAACTAAACAGCCCCGGCTTTGGGCTGGAGCTTGTCCTGCTCTTGGCCCCTTACACCTCCTGGGATGTTAATTTTGGTGTATGCTGTGTTCTCTTTGTTTCCCTTTTGAAAGAAAATGTTTTCTTGTCTGGGCAGCAAAAGCGCCGGAGGCGTGCATGCGGCTTTGCAGGGCAGTGGGAGTAGTAATGGAGAGGTCCCACCCTGACCTGAAGTCCGTTCTCCCTTCCATCCCACCTCCTGACCCCTCTTCCCACCCCGTTAGGGCAGCAGGATCCTCCTGACGTGTTTGTTCAGCCCTTGAGATCCCAGCGTAGCTCTTGCAGGCCAGCGTTGGGGTGGGGGGTGCCGAGATGCCTGGGAGAGACCTCCTCTCCCCTGCCTTGAACAATCCGGCCTTCATCCTTCTTTTTGCCAGGATGAGAAGGAGCAGCTCATTCAGTCAAAGAGCTCCGTCGCCAGCCTGGTGGGACGGTCCAAAACCATCGTTCAGCTCCGACCCAGGAACCCGGAGCACCTTGTGAAGAGCACGATCCCTATCAAGGCTGTTTGTGACTATCGGCAGATCGAGGTGAGGGCTGGAAGGCTGTCGGCGTGACTTTGAAAGGGAAGGCAGGGACGAGGCAGGGGAGCAACGCCTGCTTTAGGATAAGCTCTGTGGTGTCTGTCAATCGAAAGCAGGAACGGAGTGGGAAGACAGGAGGAGGGAAATAGCACGGCTGTTTTTCCTGGAGCAGATTTCCATGTCTCAGATTTATTCTGGGCAGGAGCTAAAGTCCCTTTCTCCAAGGAGGATGGGCTTCATCAGCCCCAGCCAAACAGGCACGTGGGTGGTAGCCGACTCCGCTTAACTTCCTTGTCCCTTCCTCTCCAGACATGAGCGTGCCGCGCTGCTTGGCGCTACGCCAGGCTTTTCCTTGATTAAAATACCTATATCTCTATATTTGTGGAAGCTGGCTCACCCCCCGGAGGGGAGCTGGCAGCGAGGGCAGCATGGGCAGCCCTGCTGCTGGTTCTGATGGGCCGGGTGGTGTTGGTGCCGCTGCAGATCACCATCTGCAGGAACGACGAGTGTGTGCTGGAGGACAATTCCCAGAGGACCAAGTGGAAGGTGATCAGTCCCACGGGGAACGAGGCCATGGTGCCCTCTGTCTGCTTCCTGATCCCCCCTCCCAACAAAGAGGCCATCGAGATGGCCAACAGGTAATTTGCTGGTCTCTGCTGCGGGGGTGTCCCGGAGGTGCTGCAGCAGGGAGATGGGGAGGGAGTTGGTGGCATGGGAGGGGACAGATCTGGGGTGGGAATGGGAGAGGAGCTGGGGTGGAGGAATAGGAGGGGGTGGCACAGCTGATTCAGGGTGAGGGAAGGAAGCCTTCATGGTAATGCAGCTGCAGACTCCATGCAACTGCTGTAGCAGCTTGCAGAGAGAAAACGGTGATTTGGGAGGAGGGATCCCTCCGGGGACCTCTGGCACGGACCAGCAGGAGCATCGCTTGATGGACTGCCGGCTGGCTGGCTGGTGGATGAACAGGGTCAGGGCTGGGGAGAGCCAGGGCTGACAGATCTGTTCCTTCCCCCTTGCAGGGTAGAACAGTTGTACCAGAAAGTGATGGCGCTCTGGCACCAGCTCCACATGAACACAAAGAGCCTCATCTCCTGGAATTATCTGCGGAAGGACATAGCCCTGGTGCAAAGCTTCAGCATGGAAAAGGTACAGTAGGAACTTCCCAGCCCGGCTGCGGGGCTGCGTTGCTCAGTGTCCGGGCTTCTTCACGTGCCTGAGGAGGAAAGGAAGAGTTAAAGGGAAGCCCAGAGACTGCAACGTTGGGGGAAGTCAAGGGGCTGCGCATCTTGAACAGTGGGAAAACCTGAGTTGGGGAATTCTGTGCAAAATGATTGCAGGTTTTGCCAATAAAAAGAGCATCAGCAGTTTGCTGCTGAACTGGAATGAGCGTAAGAGATTGTGGGCTTAGCGTTTCGTTAGGGAGCGAGCAAGGCCGGGGCAGGCACGAGGCTGGTACGCAGGCGCTTGTCTTTTCTCCTCTAAAGAGAGAATACTCACTTGGCAAACGAAGGGGATCATAGAACCATAGAATGTTTTGGGTTGGAAGGGACCCCTAGAGGTCACCCAGCCCAACCTCCCTGCAGGGAGCAGGGACACCTTTAACCAGATCAGGTTGCTCCCAGCCCCGTCCAACCTGGCCTGGAATGTTCCCAGGGATGAAGGTGGGGAGGGTGGCTTCGGTGGTGCGTGGGAAGTTGTTCCCGGGGGTTGAACGTGCTGCTTTTCCACTTGCAGCTCAGATCCTTAGCACAAGGGGAGTGCCAGCAAGCCATGAAGAGCCTCCAGGCGCACTATGAGGACTTTCTGCAGGACAGCCGGGACTCAGAGCTCTTCTCAGTGTCGGACCGGCTGCGCCTGGAGGAGGAAGTGGAATCTTCCAAGGAACACATCCGGCAGCTGCTGGAGTCCATGGAGAACGGTGAGCTTCAAAGGGCTGATGAATTACCCAGGAGCTGTGGGGACTCATAAACAAAGGATTTATGGGATGGCTTCATTTTCTGAGCTGGCTAGTTGATGGTGTAAGCAGCTGCTCTCCTTATTTCTCCATCCATTCAAGTGTTCGGCCTTTGTCCAGCACCATTCCTGCAGGGAGGGCTTGGCTTTGCAGCTTCAGCTTAACTGCTGAGTCTTCTTACCCCAATATTGTTGGAGATGGGTTTGGTCATTAGTCGGGACACATTCTGAGCAAGGAGTTTTTCCTGCATTTAATCTTCAAGAAAACACACGTGGCGGTCACAGTCCCGCTGCTCAGAGCAGCGCATGGCTCCCAGTGTGACACAGCAGGACCGAGTCCCACTAAGACCGGGGACTCCGGCTTCATCGTGCGAGGTGCCCTGGGGCTGGACTCCTTCTCAGCTGCGTTTGAGATGATTTGATTAACTTGTTTGCTGTCTAAGCAGAGACCCCGGTGACTCAGTGTCAGTGCGATGCTGCACTTGGCTCCAGGGCTCCTGACAGGTCCTGTTTGGGGCAGACACCGGCCAGCGTTGTTTGAGCTGTATTTTGGTTTGTCTGTGACTCGCAGAAGACAAGGATGAGACCGTTGCCAGGACGTATCTCTCGGAGCTGAAGAATATCCGTCTGCGCCTGGAGGAGTGTGAGCAGAGGCTCGTGAGCCGAATCCAGTCCCCAAGCAGCGCCCGAGCAGATGGTGATACTATCCAGGAAAACACCATCCGCATTGCGGAGCAGGAGGTCAGTCCTGCTGCTGTGAGGATGTGGAGAGGAGGGAGGTGGTGGCCACTGGTCTTTAGCGTGTGCCAAAACCAGCTTTTAACTTCTCCAGGGTGAACGTGTGGGTGGTGGGTGCATAACTGTGTGGGGTTCGAGAGGACCTTGCTGCACAGAAAGCAGCAGGAAACCTCTCCAGGTGGGCTCCATGTGTCATTTCATACCCACCTCCTTCGCCAAGGGCAATCCTGCTTTCTCTCCGCCTGCTTGGGCTCTCCTTTCACCTTCTTCCCCTTCCTCCCGTAGCGCATGCAGGAGGATCTGCAGCGGCTGCAGTCAGACCTGCGGTTCGTTTCTGAGAGATGCTACAGCTTCCTCGACAAGGCGCCCGCAGGGTCCAGCACGCCCCACTTGCGTTCGGAACTTGACTTGGTGGTGAACAAGATGGACCAGATGTATGGGCTGTCTTCCATCTACCTGGACAAGTGAGTCGGGACGTGCCTCCATTCCCAAATACCTTTTCCAATCTGCCCAATTCTGCTCAAGACCTTTCTTCTGGCCCTCCAACACACCTTGCACTGGACCATACCTGAGCTCCATCTCTTTGCGGCCTGTGGTGCAAACAGCCTCGCCATCAAGGGGACCTCTGGCAAATGGTGGGTGTCATTGTGCCGTCTCTGTTTGATTTGCCAGGTTGAAGACCGTTGATGTTATTATTCGGAACACCCAAGGAGCAGAGTCTCTGGTCAAAGGGTACGAGGTTAAGCTGAGCCAAGAGGAGGCAGTCCCCGCCGACCTGGCAGCTATTCAGTCTCACAGAGCGGCGTTGCAGGTTGGTGCCGTTCGCTTCCCCAGGTGGGCAGGCAGAAACCAGCCAACGCTTTGGTGTTTGCCAAGCAGGGTCCTTCCCTTTCTCTGCTGAATTTGTACCGTATGTCACTTTTCTTGCCTCGATATCGCTGCCGGGAGGATTCTGTGCTGCTTACGTGGTCCCTTATTGCTTTGTAAAGGTAAAGGAGCTGCTATGGCTTCTGCTGTCTCTTGTAGGGCATGTGCTGGCACGTGAGAGCATTTTGGCAGCTACATGTCCTGTAGGACGCGGGCTGGACCAGTCTGACTGGCTCCAAGCTGGGAACGTGGTCCCCTCCGTTTTGCACATCCTATAATCAGCCCATTCTTCACAGGTTAAGGAGAGCGGGAAGATAAACCCCATCTCAGGCTTGTCAGCTCTGGGCAGGAGGGCATCCCTGACTTAACGTCCCTTTGCTCTCCCTGACGTTGAACCGGTGCTGTCTCTTGCTCATTTTGCAGCAATGGCTCGGGGAAGTGAAGGACAAGAGCTCTGTCTTCTCCACGTTGGAGGAGGAGATGGCGAAGGCAAAGGCAGTGGGAGAGCAGCTCTACCAGCGGAGACAAGAGCGCAGCATCGACCTCGAGCGCTATCAGGAGAAGGGAAGCCAGCTGTGGGACCGCTGGCAGCGAGCCTGCGCCCAGATTGAGACCCGGTGAGAAACCTCCTGCCGCCTTTGGCAGATTTGCTTTCCTGCTTCAGCTGAGAGCTTGGGTCAGGCTTCTTAGCAGGGCTGTTTTTCCAGCTGGGATTCCCGCTGGTGGCTGGGATATCCCTATAGCCTACGGTGGCATTTTGCCCTCCTCTGACTTGCCTTGGTTCTTCTCGCAGCCACGCAGAGCTGGAGAGCATCCAGGAGGTGCTGAGTGATTACCGGCAGTGCCATGGTGCCCTAATCCAGTGGATCGAGGAGATCACGGTCCAGCAGGAGCTGATGAAGCCCGGGCAGGCGGAGGACAGCCGGGTGCTGTCGGAGCAGCTGAGCCAGCAAACGGTAAGGCAGGACCTTGGGATGTCTCCATGGTGTGGTTGCTGCAGTGACCTTGCCCTTTCTTTTCTTGTACTAAGATCTTTTCGTCTGTCAGCTTGAAAATATGAAACACAGTGGGGAAGAGGCTGCAGGCCTGATTTGGGTGTCTGGGAAGCAGAGAAACTCTGCTTAGCTTGAGGTGGAGATGAGGTCTTGCATAAAAAAAAATGGAAGAGGGTAAAGACTTTAGCCAAAAGGGGAGGGATGGGGACTGAAATTCAGCTTACCACCCGCGGCAGCTGTCCTGACAACCATTTTTGCTTTGAATTTTGTTGAAGGCTTTGGCTGCGGAAATTGAGAAGAATCAAGCCAAGCTGGACCAGTGTCAGAAATTCTCCCAGCAATACTCAGCTGCTGTCAAGGTACGGGTCCGCTCCTCCACCTAGGTAAGGCTGGCTGGGCAGAAACGGCCCCGGCACCGTTTGCGTCTCGCACGCTCCATGCCTCTCCACCCCCGGTTGCGTTTGCAGGACTACGAGCTGCAGCTCATGACGTACAGGGCGTTCGTCGAGTCGCAGCAGAAGTCTCCCATGAAACGCCGGCGCATGCTCTCGTCCTCGGACGCCATCACGCAGGAGGTAAGAGCGCGGCCGCCCGCCCGACCTTGCGAGGGAGAAATTGTGCAGGGCGATTTTCGATGCCGAGCAAACCGCTGAGCTGCCTCTTGTGAAATGAGCTCCTTTCTGCTGAACTCTCTTGTATAAATAAAGTTTCCACCCTCGCTGTTTTTTCCAATAGCCAGAGAGGATGGCTTAGTGCTCTAAGCACCAGGTATGAAATACCTAGACTCCTGGGAACCCCTGGGTCAAATCCAGCGGGGTCGGCTCAGCCCTTCAGCCTTGCGAGGTAAATAACCAGAGCGCCATGCAGCGTTACTGTGTGTGGACCTTTGGGATGAGACCTTTAGGGACCCAAGGTCCTGTCTGCTCCGTGTGGATATTCAAGATCCCGGTAGCCCTCTTGTAAGAGTTGAGCGTCCGCCCCAGTGTCCGTCACCGGAGTCTCCCCTTCGCTCCAGTGTTGTGCAGCATGCCGTGTGTGGCCACAACCCTCCCCGTCAGACTCGCTGCGTTTCATTCATGCCGTACCGGGTCTGCGAGGTGCCTGGGGGGCTTCCCAAGCGAGAGATGCACCCATGTCATGTACCGTCAAGTACGCCGCTCCGGGTCTGCCGATCGTGACTGATGCGCCCCGTTTCTCCCTCTCTCCCTTCGCAGTTCATGGATTTGCGGACTCGCTATACAGCTCTGGTAACGTTAACCACGCAGCACGTGAAGTACATCAGCGACGCTCTCCGGCGGCTGGAGGAGGAGGAGGTAAGGGTGTCCCACAGAGCTCAACTCTCTATTCAAAACATGCAGGCTCATTTCCTAGCACCCCATGGGTGCTGCTCCACATTCAGGTTAAGCTTTGGGTGCTGCTTCTGAGAGCCTCCTCCGCCTTTGGAGATCTGGGACCCCTTTGACGTGGTTATCTTCCTCCCCACTCTGTTTGCAGAAAGTAGTGGAGGAGGAGAAGCAGGAGCATGTGGACAAGGTGAAGGAGCTCCTGGGCTGGGCCCTGGGCTTGAAACAGAGCGTGCAGGGCAGGACGGCTGGTACCGGGAGCAGAGAGCTGGGCGAGATCGAGAAGTCCATCTCAGAGCAGCAGGTAAACCAGGGGCAACCATCAGGCAGCCTTTTTCACTTTTTCTTTTTCCACAGCTGAATTAAGCTTCTTTCTTTCGTATTTTTGTTTATTTGTTGGTTTTTTTTTTTCCCCCCTGACAGGCCCTGAACGAGGAGCTGGCTGCAAAGAAGGAGCAGGTCTCTGAGGCCATCAAAACTTCACAAATCTTCCTGGCAAAACACAGCCACAAGTGAGTGTGGGAGGACAGGCAGGGAGAGCAGTTGGGGGAGATGAGATACCTGGCGCTGGTGAGCTGGTGTCCCCGGGGTCCAGTGCCCGACTCCTGTTAAAAACAGTGATGAGCCGACTCATGAAAGTTGTCTTCTTTCTTATCTGCGAGGAGACCTATGAAATATGAAACCCGTTTATCCTGTTAGGACAATATTAATCTCCTCTTGGTGGTGATCCAGCCCCGTGTAGTTGGGGATTTGATGGTTACAGGGCAGGTCAGCCTTTGCTGAGCACAGTTAGCCTTGCTGGTTTTAGCTGAGCCAGGCAAGGAGTCGGGCAGTGGGAAGAGGGAACTCGTGGTGCATTTGGCCTTGTCCTTCACCAGAAGAACATGTTAATTCTGCAGAGCTGGGAGATGGTTTGTGGAGTTCCCCTGAGAGATTTCCCCTTCTCCTTGCAGGCTTTCCCATCCGGAGAAGGAACAGATTTCTGCTCAGATCGGTGCCCTCAAGGAGACCTACCAGGCGCTCTGCAGCGATTCCACGGAGCAGCTCCAGCAGCTCCAGAGCCAGCTGGCTCAGGAGACAGAGCACAAGGTACTGGTCCCCGCTCGGTCCTGTGGCTGCACGGACACAGGGCACTCCTCAGGGTGTGAAAAAGGTTTTGCTTGGTTGCGTGTCTTGTGGCCACCAGCCACTTGCAGCTCGTTGACTTTCTTACTTGCACGTGGTTGCCCTCCCTTCTCTTCTGTCCATGCCGTCACCCAAAGCATCCAGGCTGGGGTGGTCCCTGGAGGCCAAGCAGGAGCCATTTACCTGCTGCCTCCCAGGTTGATGGAGAGGTGTCCTTTGCAATGGTTTTTATCAGAGCTCTGCCCTGTGCACAAGGGTTGGCTTGTTCACGCTTGGTGGGCAAGGCTGTAGGTGGACCTCTGTCCTGGACAGGGTCCCCTTAGCAAATCTGTGTTCTCTGAGGAACGCCCTCGGTGATTTAACCGCAGAGGTCTCCATCTCACAGGAGACGCAAGAAGGTGGGTTTCTGCAGAAGGGCGGTTGCCCGTGCGGTCTCGTGTACCTCAAGGTCGGGCAAGGGGTTTGTCTCGGCTGCGGCTGAATGAGGTTGCTCACCCCCAGTGGAAGGCGACCGCATCGCCCAGGCCCTCAGCTGAGCTGGGAGACCTTCACGACCCGTAGCTGGACCCATTCCCTGTTCACATCCACCAGCGCTCCCGTCAGTCCCCATCCTTGTTTCGCTGGCTAGGGAGGGCTGAAAGCGTGTCCTTCCTGCCTCTGTTACGAGCTGTCTTCGGTCATCCACAGATATACGTGTACGTGCTGTATAAGTGTATATACATGTGTCAATGGATATATTTGTGTGTTTGCTTGCTGGCTCCCTGTACTCTGAAGCAACAGCCCGCTCAGATCTGGATGCACGACGCAGGTTTTGGCTGTTGGGTCCGTGAGTGAAGCCCTGTTCGGGCCGCTCACGGGAAGAGGGCGACGGGGTTGCTTGTTTGAAGTCTGCCTGTCCAGCTTTCACCTAAACATGGCGTTTCTCTCCAAATTGGGCTTTCTAGCACGTTTCAGGTATCTCAGTGCAGTAAATGCGTTCTGTTGCAAGCCCTTTAGCCCTCACGCTGGCAGCAGAAGGCTCACGGTGAGCAAAGCGACTCGTTAGTTGCCGCTGAGCCGTCACGGCTTTGATGCTGCTGCCAGAATTGCAGCTGAGAGCAGCCAGCCTGTGGAAAGGATGCTTTTCCCTTTCCTTTTTCCTCCCTCCCGGGCAGGAAAATGACTTTATAGCAAAAGCCTTCTCCAGGGCTTGCTGGGCTGGTTTTGTACAGCGCGAGCGCGCTTTGGGGCTCAGGCTAGAACAGTTTTCACTCACGCTCTCGACGAAGCCCAGGAAACGAAACGAGAGGTGGCAGTGGGGCTTCGCCGTAAGATCTACGCCCATCTACGAGACGATCCCCACGGCTCTCGTGCGGTGCGGTTGCTTCACTGTAGAGGGAGCATGAGGAACTCTTAACATTTGCTTGCTGGAAACATCCAACTGTCCGAGAGAAGTTACAAAAGACAAAAATGCCAAGCAGAACGCGCTAAATTGAGCATGATGTGTCCCTGTACAGTTTGTGTTTCATGTCAACTGGGTTTAAGATTAACTGACATCCTTGCTTACAAGTTTAACTAACCCTCCGGGATTTAAACAAACAAACCACACAAAGTGAAAGAGGACGACCTGTGTGGGGGGTTCTTTTTGCAAACAAACCAGTCGCATGCTGGACGCTAACACCAAGCTTTACACTGTGTGTGATACGGCTGAACTGCTCCATAAGGCTCTGTCTTTAACTGCTCAAGGCACACCCTGCAACTCGGGTAAGTAAAAGCCTTTTACTCCCTTCCCTCCCATCTCCTCTTTTATCTTTCTCTTGTTTTTCCCCCTCCTCTTCTCTGTCTTTCCACGGCTTGTTCATCTCCCAACGTGCATGCCTGAGTCTGGCGACGACAGTGGGGAGCTTTGTTTTTTTCCAGCAGGTTCCCCCTGTCTCCGCTGCAGAAACCAGCCCGGTGGAGGCTGCGTCCTCTGCTGGGCTGTAACCAAGCTGCGCCCCCAGCTGCCTGTGCTGTTGGACACCCCGATAAAAAAAAAAATAATCTGGGGGTCCTAGGGATGCAAAAGGAATTCATTCCACAATCCAGATTCCCTCCCCTCCTTCCCCATAAAAATCTTACAGTGCTTGGGCCAACCTTATGCCAACCAGTGGGACTGGGAGAAGCCCAAACGTCTTTAGCATCTGAATTATTACCCTCCCTGTGGGGATACCAGTGAGAAAAGCCCCTCCAGGTACACCCAAGCAGATGATCTATTCCCAGTCTGTCGCTGTTGCCATGCTGGGACCTCCAGCTTCTTGTATTTCTCCCCTTGCCCTCTCTGAGGAGCACAGCTACTGGAAGGCGCTGGAGCGGGGCAGAGTGGGTGCCGGTGGCCGTGCTCGGGGAGCTGCCCTGCATGCAGCGCTCCTGCCCTAATGCATGGCCGTCCCTGGGGCTGGGGAGCTACTTCTTGGCACAGGGCTCTGGGGGGTTCCCCGGCTGTCCCGGCACTTGAGATCTGCTTGGAGAAGTGCAGGATTTAAGCATGGCAGGAGTCAGGGTGGAAACTGCGCTAGGAGAGGTTCCTAGATACCCCAAAGTGGACACCTTTGGGGGTTTTTTCTCCTCTGAGTACACAGTGGGATTTGTGTTGCCTTTACTTTTTAAACCAGGAGTTGTTGAACGGCTTCGGTGTGCTTGTTGGTCTCCTTCCCTCTGTTTCCCCCTGAAGCATTAGGAGCACTTCTGGGTTTTGCTGCTTGCCGCTTGGCTGCGTTACTGTTGGTGGATGTTGGAACCATCTCAGTGCTGCCCTGGGTGACGGACTTAGATGAGCATTAAAACTTGCTGGCAGCGTGCAAGCTAGCAAATGCACCGGATTGCGTGCTGTGATGCCTTTGGAGTTGCATTTCAAACACTTTGGGACTCCTTTCTAGTCTGTTTAGGGTTTTTAAACTTTTTTTGGGGGGGGGAACTGAGACCCCCCTGGACCTCATACCATCTGAGTGCTGGTGATTCTCGATTTTGATTTAATTCTTTTCCTTCTCTTTCTGTTCTAGGGCAACGAAGCAGTGGCAGGAGTGATCGATCTTGGCACGGTAGAAATATTCCCTGTCTTTGGGGCCATGCAGAGAGGTCTTATAGATCAGGACACTGGCCTCGTCCTCTTGGAGGCCCAGGTTATCACATCTGACTTAGTTGTTCCAGAGACCAACGAGAAACTCTCCTTGGAGAAAGGTCTGGCAAGAAACCTCATCGACCTCAGGGCATTCCAGGTGCTACAGCAGCTGAAGGATGCTCTCTGCCGAGTGGAAGAAGTCAGACGTGAAGGAAGGCAGCTCCTACCTGTCGTTGCTGCGATAGAAGAGGGGAGGATCAGTGAGAGCATTGGGCTAAAGATTCTTGAAGTTGAGCTCGTCACTGGGGGCTTTAAAGTCCATCAGGGCAGAATCAGCATGGAGACAGCGGTGCAAGAAAGGCTCCTTACCCCCAAGCTTTATTCCAGACTTCTGTCTCACCTGGACGGTGGCAAGGATTTGATTGACCCCAACACTGCTGAGAAAATCAGTCTGCCCGAGCTCATGCACCGATGCATCATCCACCAAGAGACGGGGCTGAGGCTGCTCCCGGTCAAGCAGCTGGCGGGTGGGATGGTGAGCTTGAAATCAGGCAGAAAAGTCAGCATCTTCCGTGCAGTCCAGGAAGGGCTGATAGACAGGCAGGTAACGGTCAGGTTGCTGGAAGCCCACCTCTTCGCTGGTGGCATTGTTGACCCCAGGACAGGGCACAGGCTGACTGTGGATGAGGCCGTGAGACATAATTTAATTGACCAGGATTTGGCATGCACACTTCTTATCCGGCAGCTTCAGACAGGTGGCATCATCGATACCGTCACGGGAGAGAGACTGACAATTGATGAAGCTGTAAGGAAAGACTTGGTAGCACCAAGGATTGCATTGGTGGTCCTGGAATCCCTATGGTCCTTCATGGGGCTCCTGTGGCCAGAGACGGGGGAGATCGTCCCGGTTGCAGATGCTTTAGAGCAAGGAATGCTGTCTACAGAGCTGGTTTACAAGATTCTCAGCAAGAGGCAACTCATTAAGGCTGTCTTTATACCAGAAACCACGGAGGTGTTGTCCTGGAAGAAAGCAGTTGAACACGGCATCTTGGAGAGAGATGTGGCAAAGAAGCTGAAATCCACAGTCATACCTGATGTCATGGCCAGCCTGCAGCTTGCTGGGTCTCCAAGCAGAAGCAGGCATGGCCAGAGCTCTTCTGGACGGAGTCCCACAGGTCACAAGGAGCAAAGTGACCCTCTGCTAAGGAGTGATGACGAAAGGCTGATGTTCCACTTGATGACCCACAGCTATATCAACATCCACGATGGCCAGAAGCTGCTCTTAGTGGATGGAGAGTTGAACAATCTCACTAAAGCTCTCCTCCAAACCCAAGGAAATGGAGCCCGTGCACACGTGTTGGAAGGGAGTGAAGGCTTTGAGGAGCCGAAGGCACATGAAGCTCTTGAAAGCGAGCCTTGCAATGGTTTGGCTTTGCAGCAGCTTGAGTTTCAGTTGGCTCCTTCAAAAGAACAAAGCGAAAAGGTCCTGCCGCCCGGAACTGCTTTGGAGAATGGGGAGGTGGTGATGGGACCTGACAGCCTCCTGTTGGAGGGTGCAGAAGATCTCCTTCTTGTGAAGGAGCAAAAGCAGATTTACACCAAAGAGGCTACTGTCAGGAGTGAAACTGATGCTGAATTTGGAAGAGATCGAGTAGCTTCCACAAGCAAGGACAAACATCAGGTAAAATTATCAATGCCACAACATCCCGGTGACCTTGGTAGTGGGTTCAGAGACCCAGAGGAAACGATGGCTGAGGCAGAAGAAGAGTCCAAGCCTGCTACAGTAGATGGAGTGGAAAGTATCGAAGATCAGGAGAGGGCATCAGAAAGTGGGGCAGTTGTTGAGAAAAGTGAAATCTGCATATCGATGGATGTTTCAGAAAGC